TTTGACATGTTATAACTGTACAATTTAGTATCTGTTATTCATAGTTCCAAACCTGGTAGATGACACAAATAAGAGGCCAGTGTCAGAGGCCCAGAGACTATAAGACAAGGTATAAGTGGCCAAGAGATCAGAAATATGAAGAGGAGAAATTCCCTGCATGATCTTGTAAATCTACAGTATTCAGATTCATAATAGCAAGTGAAGCAAAGATTGCATGAATGTTAGAACAAGACATTGTTAGAACAAACCTCACTGCAAAATTTTGGAAATACTTTGCAGTACAGTATACTGTATGTTTTTTTGTAGGGTGTAGCTACAAGGTGTCACATTAGTCCAGTCTAGACAAGAAAAAAACAATAATAGTTTCTCTGAAGTACAGTAGGCACTTGTAACTACTGTATGTGTCTTAAAGCTGGGATTATACTGTAGTGATACTTCATCATACCTGTATTACCTTTTAAGTTCCATGCTTATTATGGTTATGGGGTTGAACTACAATCACATTTAAATATATAAAGTGGTTTTTTTACTTTTAACATTTCTTTTAAGGCATTAATATTAACAATTGACCATTCACAAGGCACCTTGTTGCACCAACTGTTACATTTTTAAGGTGTGCTACAGAACATTTCACTATCTAGCAGACTGCTTTCCCCAAAACTAGATCATTGGAACAATATCTTCACCCAATAAATCATCTTCCACTACAAAAAAGGAAAAATTGTAGTGTATGTGCTATGCTCTCCATATGTGACAAACACTAGAGCAGAAGCATAATAAAAAAACTAATTTTGTGCTCATCTTTGGACAAGACACTTCTCGTACAATAATAATCCAGACAAAGCAAGCCTTATCATTAGTCACATTGACTGCAACTGGGTAGTTTATCATTTGAATGGAGAAGCTCAGCGAGTGTAATGAGTGCACAGAGATTCCCCTCTAACGATAATAGCAGCCTCTAAAAATATAACCACTTCTGTTTTATGGCAGTTGTTTTATTAGTTGGATTTTGTGTATGTGTGTTTCAACACACGTTTTTGTTTTATTTCATAATCATAAAGACCTGTTTAGTACCAGCAAACTAAAAGTTCAATTTTACATACACCCAACCTCTACGAAACTAGTATAAAGTTTCGAGTATACGAGTATAAAGTAACATTTGCATGTACTCCACACAGACAATTAATCTAAGACGGCAAATCATTTTATACTACAATTAATTTATACTTAATTTAGCATCTTAATAAGGTAAGAGTTCACAGTGCTGAATTGAGAAGAAATTAGATGTTCTGAACTGTCTAAATGACTGAATTAGCACATGTAAAAAATATATATATCACAGTGTGGGTGACTCCTAAATTCAGGAATTTACCTATCATAGGTACTAGGACCCCTTTTCCCTTTGTCACATGTTATTTTTATCTCCAAAAAACACCAGTGCATCCACAGACCAGACATGACAGTTATCATACAGTATATAATATCCAATTTTATTGCTGTGATTCTATATTACCAACACACAGACGTAACCCCATAACACAGCCTTTCCTATGACTGTTCACCCAATGCACAGAAGACGACATGACCTGTCTGCTCATAAAGCAGCCCAAGAACCCCAGTCACCAGACCCAAATGTCTCAAACAAATGGTCTGGCTTTGCCGTTCTCTGGAACCAGCTCCAGTCAGTACCCTGACATGTCTCTTTATGCCACAGTGAAGAAGCAATGAAGTTCCAGACACCCTCCTCAGTACCAGGCATCCTGAGCAATGTGTCCCCCCTCCTACATTTGTCTCTAAATCCAGTTTTGAGTAGAGGGAGGGGGAAGAGGTTGCTGGGGCTTTTCTCTGCTCTCAGTCCCTGATCTCTGACTCTAGTCCTCTCCTGGATACTCAACTGTAGCAATCTGTCACACAATCCTTCCTTCTTCAAAGTCCCTGAGTTCTCTGACTTCAGTTTTGGGTGTGTTCATGACTCATGCCCTGGGGGTGGAAGTGTCCTGGTGATGTCTTCCAGTGTGGGCAGAGGCTCATGGAGTAAATGGCTGAAGCCAGATGGCCAGGTGTCACAATGCATTTGCACCCTGTGCCAGAGCCCTCCCTCCAGGTCACAGGCACAGTCCAACCTGCCTTACAAACCACACACGTCACCTCTGAACTCTGTGGTAATGGTCCAGCATACTTTTTAAGGAGGGCCTTTGGTCTTGACAGGAGGTTCGAGAACAAGGAATGAATTGCGTTAACACTAATGGTGACACTAACCATTCAAAGATCGATAGAGGAGTCTATTTGCCATATGTAAATATAAAATGGGATTCTTATCCACGCTGTTCTCCCAGGACATGCACAGTCAACACAACAACACAGTACAACAAATGACGCCACACAATGTAGAAAGGTGGATCATTCAGTTGATTTGGAGAGTTAGCAATAAAATCAGAAGAATGACCATTGATAAACAGGGGACTGACACATAGACCTTCAGTGACACCTGTCCCACCAGATTGAATTTTTAAATAATTACAATGCAAAGAGCTTTTAATTTCTTTCACAGAATATTCAGTAATAACATCCACATGAAAGTGTCAGTTTCACAGCTAATTACAGCACACTGCAGAAACTTAAAATACTGTTGTTTTGAAATGACTGTTTAGAATGTTTCTAACAGTTTTCTAATGCTTCATAAAATATAATTACATGCTTAAATACAACAGCTGTGGAGAGTATGAAAAGGACTAGTTAAAACGTGTTAAAGATTTTGTTCTTCTATTTAAACCATGACTGAAGTAAATGATAAACAGTTTTACAAACTTTTCTAGCATTACAGATATTAAGTTGATGTTTGGAAAAATATAACTACAGTACATGAGCAAAATGCACCAGACCTTATCATAATTAATAATTAATTCCACTTTCACAGCACTTTTTCATTCCAAAGGATTTCAGTAAGCTTCGCCTATAAGTGGGGACCCACTTTTTTCTGTTCTCTTTGTAAAAGTTAGGGAAAGGCAAACATCATGTATACAGTTTGATATAAAAGGCAGACACAATTCTTAAATATGCATGTAAAAGTGTTGGATTTATATTAACATATACATTTGAAAAATTTGGAAATGATAAAAATATAAGAAAGACTGAGTAATACTAGTTTCCTTTTGAGTTCTAAGCAGAGTATTGATCAGCAAGCTTCAGATAGCGCTCTAGGAATAGATTAATATAGAGTGACTTGAATAATCTCATGCTTATATGATTTTACATATTTACATACAGTATATTAGATATTGAAGAAACAGTATATTTTGTAATGAAAAGATTAAAAGTGAGCCTTATTTCATTCATCCATTTGTCTTCCAACAAGGTCATAAGGAAGTCAGAAACTATCCAGGCAAGCAATGGGCACCTACAGCCTGAAAGGGACATCAGTCTGTCTCAGACACACAAACACAGTCATGCACATACTCGCACTCAGACATGTTTTCACAGAAGCCAGTTATGCTGGCAGAATGTCAGACTGTGGAAAGAATCCAGGGCACTTGGAGGAAGCCCATGCAAACACAGGAAGAAGGTGCACAATGGCACCCCAGGGCCCCAACACTGTGAGGCAGCAATATCAACTACTGTACCACCATGCCACTTAATGCTAATTCACTTATTCAAGATCCTCAAAGATTTTTGTATAGAGAACCCAAGAAACTACAACAGTGAAATGAGGACCTGAACTTGTTCTCGAAACCCTGACTTTCTAGGATGAATCAGAATGTGACTGAATGAAACTGCGCCATCAACAACTATGAGTCAAATGACCTCCCATTATTTCTAACCTCTCTTTAGTTATTCTCTGCTTAAACATCAAAGGAACACAGGCCATGCTCTATTGTGCGATTAGCTGACAGAAGCTAGTTTTGATTGGGTTTCCTCAACTTGCCATGAAACAGGAGCTCCAGAGATTTCCTAAAAAAACAAGGAGGTCTATCTGAAGAATGGATGTTGGCAAGAGAAAGATTTTTTTAAATAAAATGACAAACAACTGGTTGGTGAGATAAAGAAACTCACATTGTTGCAAAATGGATGCTTTGTGATAGAGAACAGAATCTTGTGCCCCTCACAGATATTTCAGCTTCTGAACATTGTAAATTGAACTAGACAAATACATATTCCGCTCTGATCAGTTCACCTCTGCCAACCTGTGTACCTGAAGCTAAACTCATCAAATAAACAGCTTCACTTCAAAATACTTCTTAGATTTTTAGAAATACCTTTGAGATATAATTTACAGTAGTTTGTCCATTGGGCTTTGGTTACAGAATGTCCTGCAATAGGTTTGTTTCTGTTAAACTTTTGATGGAATCAAAGTAGAATAATAGTGATTGTGGTTTACCATCCTTGAACTGCATGTCCCAATAGCTAGAGATATTTTCATCCCATTATTCATTCAGGTTTTTTGCCTTACTTTATGAACCTTCAGCCTAAACCGTCCCTATCCCATTTATGAATTTCCCTGGAGGAAAGATGACAAATACTATACCTTTCGCCAATGGAGACAGTATTTATACTGTTTTCAATGTACATAAAATAATTTACTTTATTTAAAAAACAACAACACATTTTCTTTACAAGTCATACTGTAAATATTCACATATTTATATCACCGAAATGCATTAAAATCATAAAAGATGTTAATGAAGGGCTTGTTACAGGCAGGTCACCACACACTGCCTGTACTTTGAATAAATGTAACCATGGCCAAGTGGGCTACTGTACATACTGTAATCTTTTTAGGCTGCTTTCAGAATACAAGCTGGTGAACTCAATCGGAAAACATTTCTATGTTCCCAAGCTACTGCCTGCCTTTAGGCACAGACTGCAAAATTGCTTGACACCACAGAAGCATAACGGGCTTACAGTACACTATTTCAGAGATCTAACTGAGTGTTAATCCATCTGCACCAAAAAGACCTATTCTGGTCATGAAATATTCAGTTCAATGTACAGTACTAGAATTTCGACTGCAAGGAGTGCTGCAGATTCCTGTTCTGATATTATGTTCATTACTTGGGAGTCCATTGAATGTTGCATGCTTTGGAATTATGCATTAAACGCATGCCTAATTTTATCACAGTCCTGAAGGTGCTTAATTTTGGCTCATTCCGGAGCAATGTGAGAAACTCCCCCAGCTCTGAAGCTGGTGGTGTAGTCCAGTGGAATTTATAATCCATTTGGAAGGATGTAGTTTCTTTTGAATAAAGGGCGCACAGGTGGTAGGACTTTCTTCCGTGGACATTGACAGAAACCTGTGCTTCAAGAAATAAGACGCGAGATGCCCACGAGGACTTTTTGGCTGAGCTGGCACCCTGTCTTGTTTCAACAATCCAGCATTTCTCCTTAAGCTCAGCTTCGGGGCTGAAGGCGCTGCAGTCGGTTTGGCAAAACGGTAATGCGAACTTAAAAGTTTCTTTTCCGAATTGTTGCTACTTTACACAGCCACGCAAGAAACCCGTTTTGCAAAAAGAAATTTGCCGATCATATCAATTTCGATTTCAGTTTTCTTTACTGATGACACAAAGTCTTATAGGTGAACTGAATTGTGCTACATTTGACTGTCTAGAGCCGACTCTCTCTGAGCAGTGCGCAAGATGAACGGAACATTTTTCAATCACTCTGTCTCGGCGCATGGCATGTTCGCCAACAAAACCCAGTTCCTGGCTGGGTCGGTACTGGATTGCTGCAATGGGACTGCAGTTACCACAAGCGACGGGAGCTCGCAGGTTGTAGTTCCCGATGAGCGAAGTCTTTTTATCATGAGGGTTGTGCAAATAGCAGTGCTCTGCGTACTCTCCTTGACTGTCGTATTCGGCATCTTCTTCTTGGGTTGCAACCTCATGATAAAGTCTGAAAGCATGATTAACTTTCTAGTGAAGGATCGGAGACCGTCCAAAGATGTTGAAGCTGTCATAATTGGCCTTAACTAGCTGCCGCAAGATGGGCTCCTTTTCAATTGTCCTGAATGATGCATACGGACAATTTGTAGTCCATATGCTGTGTGATATATGCAAAGTCTCAAGATTGTTTCAGCGTCAAGAAGGCACGAAGTACGAAACGAATGTCAAAAGACAATCTGTCCTATGTTTAAGTGGCTGCTCTGCTGATAATGTAATGTCCACTCGGAAACCGTTATCCGAAGTCGGTGAAGTATGAATGTATTATTTTGTAATACTTTTTTTCACGTGACTGAAAAAGTTTTTTTTTCTCATTTAAAAACGCTTTCTAGGTATCTAGGTTTGAAACGAACCGCTTTCTCTTCCTTGATTGTTAGCCCGAGGCGGGTGAAAAAATGTTTACACCTTTTTATTTTCGTTTTCTCGTTATTTTGTTTTAATGAGGACAAGATATTGCATGCAAATTTTGTGCATGAGTACCGCATAAACCGAGCAAACATTTCGCGCAGTGTCAAATCAATGCCTTCAGAAGACGTCGAATGGAGTTTTTACCTCGTTCTTGTTTGGTTTGTTTTAAAGGTATCTCTGGAATACTGTAACTATTAATGTAGCGGGGACAAAGGTGCATGTTTACCAGGTCCACAATGTTGGATGTTGTGTATTGGATTTTTAACCTAAGATTTACACTTTGTACTTAAGTTTTTCCGAGAAAAGCATGCTTAGTGCCTGTTTATTGTTACTAATGAAATTGATCCACTGTTTTTGCACTTTTATGAAACTCCAAAATGCTGCATGCTTTTTGTACGAAAATGGACCTTATATGATCTGTATAACACGTTACCGTTTTTAAAAGTAAAAATGTTGGCATTTTCACTGACTTGTCATTAATTACTACAGTACTGTATGTTGAAAAAAGGTAACCCTGACTTTATTACCTCGTCTTTACAATGTGTTTGTTAACATTTTGT